CAGACAGTTAGATGGAGTGAGTGAGACAGACAGACAGTTAGATGGAGAGAGTATATGTTTTTGGGACCCCTTGCAAACAAGATGGTACATCTCAAGGGGTCCTCATACATTTCACACTACACTGTGTCAACATATAGAGCCAGATCAATCTAAACTAAATATGGAGAAAATAAATGATTATATTCAATGAGAATAATGTGGAACAATATCAAAATAATGAAAGTTGTTTGTATAAAGACAAGTCAAACACATAATTACAGCTACATTAAAATGTTATGTCACTGTTTATGGTCATTTGTTGGCCTCTCTTGTGCCATCTGGTTGTCGTGGCCGAGTGGTTAAGGCGATGGACTAGAAATCCATTGGGGTCTCCCCGCGCAGGTTCGAATCCTGCCGACAACGTGATCTTTTTTTCTTAATACAATCAACTGCTGTCATTGGTGGATAGATAGATGCTTTATTGTTCCCAATACGAGACCAGCAAACAAGAGGACAGAAGAATACAGGACAGGTACTACAAATATAAATCCCATTAACAGACACAGGATCTCTATCGTCTGTCTCATGGGACTACAGATTATGGGATGGATCACAGAGGATTCTCTTGACCTGTTTCAGATCAAACTTTATTTTTTACTGATGAGTCAAACGTGATAACTTTCAGGTTTTCACTCTAAAGACAAACTTTCAAGCAGCGATTACAACTTCATCAGTCAAACATTATTTTTGTGTGCAGAATGCTAAATAAACTGCTTTTCTATAGAAATTTTAAAAAGTAAAAGTAGTCCCTCTACATCGACAGATTCCTATATTTTTTATTTCCAAAGATAAACAAACACAACGATGAAGACACATTGTAGTGGCAGCTTATTTTACCATCCTTCTTGGCCACTTCTTGCAGGATGTAAAGGGTTCTGACTCGCGTAGACTACCATGTCCAATTTACGTGCTCTTGCAGGCTAAACTTAGATGAGGCTCATAGCTCGTAGTTAAAAGTAGTTTTATTCCATGTAAAAAATAAACAAAACCCTTATGTAATAACTAAAGTACTAAAACATTGATCTTATGCTGGCATAACAAAGACCCGTGTTTGACCTGTCCACCTCCAGTCACGTCTGCTCTATTTGGGCTTTTGCCATCTTTATCTTTATACTTTTACCAAAATACTTCCGTGATACATCAATGAATTACATTATTTTTGTAGGTATAGCTACGAATACAGGACGAGACCAGTCTAGGACAGTAGACCACAACATCAGCTGTACAGCATTGCTGTAGCGGTCTACTGATGGTAGGGATCTGACCCCTGACCTGTAACTTCAGTACCTACCTTTGACTCTGAGCAGCACTTCTCTCTTCCATATGATGTCCTCGTCCCTGCGGACAGTGCAGACGTATACACCGAAGTCTACGTTAGTGAGGTTACTCAGGGTCAGGCTCAGATCTCCAGTTTGCAGCGGGTTTTCCTTCATTGTTGTGCGGCCTCTGTAAGAGTGGTGTTGCTCCTCAGGCCGGTATCGGCCGTTCTTAAACACATGGACCATCATGTATGTGCACCACTCCACTGTCGCTTCTCCAGGCAGCCGAGCTCTAGTTTCGAAGGGCAGCGTGACAGATTCAGCCAACTTCCAGACCTCTGGAACCTACACACAGTATCCAGTTCTGATAATACATCCATGTCCACCCATCTCCAGCAGTGACCTCTGACCTCTGGCCTTGTATGTACAGAAGGGAATTGTTCCTTACCCGTGACCTGCAGACGGACAGCTATCCGTCTTATTTTAAAATCATTTTTGTAGAAGGTGCAGGTGTAGAGGCCGCTGTCCGAGAGGCGGGGTTCTTTCAGAGTGAGGCTGAAGTCTCAGGTTGTCAGAGCGTAATTTGACATAAATGTTTGTGTGCTGTAATGCTGGTTTTGAAAACGAGGCACAACTATGTCCTTATACTGGTGGACGGTTGAGGGATTGAAACCGAAGCGGCTCCACACCACGTTGGTGACATCAGGGAACCAAGATGCTTTGCAGGACAGCAGGACAGACTCCACCCCCTCATTCACCGAAACACCTGAAGCATGCTGGGAAACTGTGAGGACACACAAACAATGAAGTTGCCTCAGTTATTTATGTTATCTACACTTATTTTTTACACATCAAAAAATACAACTTTTGTAAAGTATACGTATATGTACTAAAAGACATTCACATATATACAGAGACATTTTATTGACACATACTCTGCCATACATAAAAGTAAAGTAAACAAATACTAGATAAATAGATACATATTTATATGCTGTAACCCGACTTAAATC